TAGTGCCCGTGGTGCCTACTTGGTGCTCGCAGTGGCAGCTATGTTGTCAACCATATCCTTTATTTCTTTTGCAAAAAGCCATAAATGGCTTTTGTACGTTGATGACTCTTCTCTCTTAGTAAACGAAGCCTCTCACTCAAAAAGATTTTCCCAAACTTTTATTTCTTCCTTATTGTTCCATGGTCCATCGGTGCGTGTCTTTAAGAGCATTAGATTGCACAGGCTTAGCCCATTTTGATTGGGCTTTACTTGTCACCGATTTGAACTGATGGGGCTGAGTTACTACATGGACACATTCGAGTTCAACCGATTGCTGCAATGGTTGATAACCACTATAATTAGTTCGAATTAGACTTATGTTCATCCATAACGGACTGTCTGGAGATCTAATCGCATTATTTGAAGAACTCAGCATCATCTCTGGAGATATACCGCATGGTGTGAAATGTCCTTGCGATACCGACCGACATGACATAGACCCTGCTTTATTGATTCACTTGTATTTGGTTTCTGGCGGCTTAATGAGATCATCTGTATGATTTTGAGATGCTGTGTCGTCCCTTGCGTGACTTGCTTGTAGAAACAATGTATGAGTATGGATGCACTAGCCGCTATTAGCCTTTTCTTTCTTGCTTTTGCCATTATTGGTTCAATACTTCTACTTATGGGCATTGACGGTTCTGGCAGCCTTAGGCTGAGTGCCCATAGTGGAGCAGATGCGCTAGGCGTCCTGCACCCGGCCGTTCCATTATTCTAAGACTAAGCTACATTATCTTGGCTTAGAGAGAGCATGGCTGTGGAACCGCTAGGCTCGGTAATTGGTTGGTTGAGGGGGAGTATTTGTTTACTTATTCCTGGCGAGGTAATTCGATTTTCTTTTTTTCTTGTTTATTTTCTTATTTCTGTTCATTTATCTTCCCCTTTTAATGTGCTGCGTACTGTTTTTGTTATACAGCCGCCCTGGTGCGGTTCTTTCTGGACTTCACGAGGCTTTTCTTTTTTTTTTTCTACTTATTTCTTCTATCTTTGAACGCATTGCCAGTTGTGGGCCTTTTGAGAAGCTATAAGGGTGATGGCTCACCATCGAACCATTTGATGTGTCGTATTATCGACAACGAGTCTATGTCTGCACATCAGACACTCCGTTTGACTGTGAACCTATGAAAGATCCTGGAGCTGCTATTTTCTCAGGGTCCCTTACTCTCCAAGGGAGTCAGATGGATTTGCCCTTGGCGGTAAAATAGCGCGAGTCCATAGTTTCTTCTGCATGATCTGTGTGCCCTTGTGGCTGGACCCAAGAATGGTGGCTTTATTAATCCCAGCCGAGTAGCTAGGCTGTGCTATGGTCATAGCATCAGGGGTTGTCGCCTGGATTAACTAATAGCGTTACGAATATCGGCGAGAGGCGGCCTTGAACTATAACCGAAGACTTTTCTATCATGCTTCATTTCCATTGGTCTTCTAAGTCCACGACGTGTACCTAGATGATTTGATGTGGCCAACGACTTTCTTTCTCAGACATTGAGTATCGCGTTTTGCTGTAAGCTTATTCCTGTGTGAACCCCTCCCAAAGAACACATAGGCATTAATTGGCATATGAGTGAAGTGAGAGCAAGATATTGCACCGTAAGATGGTGGAGTCGCCCGGAGATTGTTTTAATTCTTTTGAGGGTAAACTAGGAAAAGAAAGCAGCCTACAAGGGTGACCGTGCCAATCTATAATTAGTCTATTACTAGATTAAATTTACCCAAGTGTCGTAAGGCCATGGTCCTTTCGACCTGAGGTGGATCCCGAGACTGATGTCAATGCTGATCGGAAACTAACCAAAAAATGAACGATGCTATTGCAAGGATGAAGTTGGACAAGGAGCATGTTCTAAGTGAGTTGCTTGAAAGTGATTGCGATTCGCGTCGGGGTTAAATCCCCGAACGTCGCCTGCCGACGTACTCTCGTTTGCATATGGAAGAACTCAAAGTCAAGCTAGTTTCGATAGGCCCTCTTTCCTGAGGGCTTGTTAGATGGTGGATTGCTTTTTTGCGATGTGTGTATTGCTTTGTGCACTTTTGTTATATGGCATTCTTGGGTCAAACAGACGATTGATTGTTTCACGGCAGCTGTGGTGCGCGATATAAGATTGATTTTGAGGCTTTCTTGTCGCGATAAATCGAGAAAAGAATTTGTGGCTTATTCTGCCTAAAGACTAAGATTGGGGTGGCTTATTTGCTTGCGCCAATAGATTAAATTGGGTCGTTAGTGTATTAGCGCGCAAAGAATGATGTGCGTCGAGTTTGTGTTTTATGGGCGATGGTCGACATAAATTGAATGATTTTAAATAACCACGTAGCCGACCCGCAACCCACGCCCCCCCCCAAGAGGTTTGTTAGCCAACAAATGAATTTGATTTATGTGCCAATTGGTTGCAAAGGTTGACATTGCAAAGGCTTTTAGCACAAAGAAATTGGGGATTTAAGCGATTTTGCTCGGCTATAAGAGAAATGGAGATTAGATTTTCACTTATATTAGGTCAATTATTTTTGCTTATAAGGATTATTTATAAAGGCTTTTTATCCAAATTATGATTTAAGCGATTTGTCGGCTATTTAAAAGATCCAACTTTTCACCTACAAGAGCATTGTTTGGCCTAAGTGTATTAGATTAAATTGATAATAGTAGGGCAATTTAGTTGCCATAAAAGAAAACGTGTTTATAGTGAGGACCTCGGTTTATGTCAGCAATCATTGATTAACTGAACTTAGGCCAAGAACTGTTTGGAAATAGAAGGCAACTTTGCACACATAGTTGATTGATAACTAGGCGTGTCTTTTAAGCCGAGATAATATCAGATTGTTACGCGTTTTAATACCACGAGTGTATTGAATTAAGTATTCGGGCAGATTCTCAGCTTAATCCTTTATGTTTGATTGTTAGGGCCATTGTATTGCCCTAGTGGAGTGATAATGGATGCATACATTGGCAGTTATAGTGAAAGGAGGGTTGAGGAAGGAGGGAGTAGAAAAGAAGCATGTCATGAAGTGCTTAAAAGATTAAATAGAGCGTAAGTCCGTTAATGTACCTGATTTGAATCTCCGTACCCTGCTTCTTAACATCCAGGTAAGCTCCCTCGTTGTAAGGGGGAAATATTAATTAAAATGGATTTTAATGGCACCTTTAGTAAAGCAGAAAACAAATGAAGCAGAATAACATAAAATAAATAAAGATAAAGAAATGAGAAAGCGATAAAAGGAATCGCAACAGAGCCGGTAAATGGAGAAGAGACGGTCCGTCAACACAGACTGTGTCTGAAAATGAGCCCGGGGTGCTCTTTTTATAGATAAAAAAAATGCCGCACGCCCGGGCGGCGCCTGCCCGCCCTCGAGGGCGGCATGGGCGGATTGCCGCCCTCGCACTGGGGGGGTTTGGGAGGGCCGGCATGCCCGCCTGGGCTGGGCGGGCCGTGGCCTGACCGCATGCTGGGCGGCGGCGGCCGCCGCCGTCTGGGCGGGCGGTGCCCGTTTGCGGGCGGGTGGGCGGCCGTCCGTTGAGGGTGGCAGCCCACCGCCGCGGCGGACATAGGGCTGTGCCTTTTTTTTTCTGTTCCGGAGCTTTTCCGGGAGTCCCGCGGACTGTCCAAAAATAGCTTTCGGAGACCAGTTTCGGTGATGCTTCAGTAATTTTTCAGGAGCATTTCAAAGTGACCTATATTGGCACACTTCCGGTGAACTGCTTTTTGAAATGAAACCCTCTGGTCCGACCCGGTCTGTTTGCAGTTCCGCGAAGAATGTGGCCTCTTTGAGCCCAAAATTTTAGGTATGTGCACCAGTTGCCCCCCACCGGCAGTACCATAAAATAGATGTTTTATGGGCGCTGGTGGTGTCCTGATAAAGCTAAAATTTTCTGAAATAGGCAAATGTTAGACGCGATCAAAGGACCCGCCTCTTGGCTCATTTGCCTTATAAAGCTCAAAAACTCATTATTTCATTTATTCTCGGCACTTCCAAATTCAGAAAGGAGCTGCTGGTGAAATTCTCTCAACATTTCTCATCATGGCTTCCCAAGCGCTATGATGTCAGCGGGGTAGGACCCTCCTGGAGTTCTCCTGGATCTTCTTGTGGGACGAATGTCGAATCTTGCGGCGGGACGCTTCGACGAATCATGCGCCTTCCATAGTACCGGCGGTCTTTGCCTCAGGTAAAGTCCTGTCGCTTCTGTAGCTTTTTGGGCTCTTAGGCCAAGGTGGAATTTTTTTGCGACGCCTTAGGCCGAAATCGTTGATTTTGTTGGGCCTTAAGGCCAAATCGGTGATTTTTGGGGCCTTAGGCCAAAGTTGGGGTTGAATTTCTTGGGCCTTAAGGCAAGATCGTGATTTTTGGGCCGTTAGGGCCAAATTATGATTTTGGGCCGTTAGGCGCAAATCGTGATTTCTTGGGCTTAGGCCAAATCGTAGATTTTGGGCAGACTTTGAGGAGCGGGCAAATCTGTGATTTTTTTTTTTTATTTTTTTTTTGGCCTAGGCCCAAATTCGTGATTTTTTTTGGGCCTTAGCCAAAGTTTGAGTTGTACTAGAAGTCGGCTACCAAACTTTTATTTAGTATGCATACTGGGGGAGGATTAGGATATCTTTAGTTAGGAACCAAAAGGATTAACCTTAACTGTTTTACTTCTCGGATGCATACATTAGCTGGACGGTGGGCGAGTCCTGCTAATTGCTGAGATCCCATTTGAACATGACTTGATCCTAATAACCCGGTGGCGCCATCATGTGGCCCCTCTCACCTGGGCTTCTTAAGCAATCTCGAGCTGGTAGGGCAGAATTCACAAGAGTTTACTGGGCGGCGTTGAGCTGAAGATGGTGGGTGACACCACCAACACTTTCCACTCCTCTTGGGGCGAAGATGACGATAGAACCCTCAACTGACTCGTTTCCAGTTTTGAGCTGTCTGGGGATTGCTCTTTGGTAACTGGGCTGCTGCGGTAGTTGGTCCGATCGGAGCTGTGACGATTGGAGGACTGCGGTCACCCCCGACCGAATGACAGAGCTGATAGGGATTGACCTTCCCCGGATTGTTAGACCCAGCCATTCCTCCCCCGACCTGAGTGTTTCGAGGCACTGGCTATCCTCCCAGGCCCCTGGCATTTATGCCAGACATAGACAAGGAGAGCTAACGGCTACTCAGGTCGCTAGATTCACTCTGCTGCTGCTGTTTGCTTCGTCTTTCTGGTCTAACAGAAAAGAGAAGTTTAATCCCTCTATACTGAGGAGCTTGGAGGACTTGGCCCACCTCACTGAGTATGACTGGGCCGGTGCTATTCTGAGCCGCATGTACGATGATATGTGCGATCTGAGTCGGGGCCACTGTAAGGCTCAGTGGGACCTACTATTTCTGGGAGGTAATGTAAAGAATATATCCTCATCCTGTGTTTGCTTTTTTCTTTTTTCTAATCCTCTCCTTCCTTGTGCAGACTTGGGCCTTTGAGTATTTTCCCTATATCCGCCCTGAGCTGGCCCATACTGATCTTGGGCTAGGGTTGGTACCTTTAGCTTGGAGATGGTACCGAGCTAACTAACAGTCTGTTCTACGCCGGAAGTCTTTGGGGGATCTGCGGAGCTTCTTCGATGCTTGTACCATAGGGCAGGCGAGTGCATTCCTAATTTCTCTTGGTTGTGTGAAAAATAAAAAAGATTTATTAACATATTTGCTTCTCTTACATAGGTTGAAGTAGGGGCGATGGGCATCCGACTCCAACATTGGATTGAGGCGGATCCCCATTTCAGGCGATCAGAGGCTCTGTCTCGGCGGCGGTTTGTCTTATCCCATCCTATTCTGAGACGTTACTACCTGGGTGAGCGAGTGGACTTCCAGGTTAGGGGCTGCGGCTCCGTTCCTCTTCCTCCCCCAAAGGACATGCGAGCGGGCAAACAGATGGTTCTTACAGATGTCCATACTGAGGGTATCCCGCACATGGAATTGATCCGGGGTGGAGATTATGACGAATTCTGCCAGGTGTTTCTGATGCGGCCCATCGGCTCCAGGTTCACAGTTCGACCGAGGATCGACTCTTCCCAGCCGCTTGCACCCGTTCCTCTCGGGCTTCCGGTTCTTCGGACCAGGACTCCAAAAGGAGGAGGCCTGTGACCCAAGCCTGTCTTCTTCTACTCGGTGGAAGGGTCCCGTCTCGGAGCTGGCCCTAGTCATTCGTTGGTGCCTTCAGGAATTCCAGCTATTCCAGAGGCTACCAGGCCCTGTCCCTCGGGCTTGGCCAATTTGCACCTTCCATATACAGCATTTCCTATTACATCGCCTGAGGGTAATTTCGTCTCTTAGGGAGTATCCTGACCGGTGAAATCACCTGCTCTTCCTCCGATACATTAATGAGGTAATGGCTGGAATCCCTCATAAAAAAGGATTTCATAAGAGATTTGTATGATTGACTTATTTTGTGTGATTCCCGGTTCTACGGCTAATCCGCAGATGAATGGAGCTAATCCTGGAAGCAGGACGAACAACCTTCACTGGACACTGCAGGCTTGACGACCAGCGGAGGAGGAGGTCGGCCCGATAGCTGCAGACTTCTTCTTCTTTCTTTACTTCTTCCCTCTTTTTTTTAACTGTATTCGAAATCTTGGGCCTGTATCTCTGTACCAACTTATTGTACCTGATTGATTAATACTGACAGTTATGCCAGGCAATAGATTCTGGCAGAAAAGGATTAAAAGTACACACTTTGTTTCTCATTTTTTTTTTTGTTTTTTTTTTTCGAAAGAGAAAAAAGGAAAGAAAAAAAAAGTTATTCTACCTTTATTTCTCTTTTCTTTTTCTTTTTCTCTCCTTTTTTTTTTGTTTTTTTTTCAATGCCTGCCTGGGCTGGCGCTGCCCAACCCAGGCTGGGCGCGGCGTGCCCGCCTAGGCTGGGCGGGCATGTCCCGCCACGCTGAGCGGGCTGCCCGCCCTTCTGGCGGGCATGGGCGGGCATGTCCGCCCTATCTGGGCGGGCATGTCCGCCCACTCATGCCCGCCCACGCTGGGAGCAGGCAGCCGCCCTTAGGCGCGACTTTCTCTATAAAAGGCTGTTTTCAACCCCTTTTTTTTTCGTTCTGACTCTCGAACACTGTGCCTAACCAGCTATTTAGGTCAGTTTTCTCCTCTCCCCTCTTTTTATTATTATTTATTTATTATTATTGTTGTTATTTTATTTTATTTTGTTTTCTTCTTTTTTTTTTTTTTAAAAAAAAAACAGGACAAACGAAAAAATAAAAAAGATGAATCCCTTTTACAACCATAGCATAAGTTGAAAAGATCAATTTGGGGAGGTACGAAATTTCTCCTGTTATCACTCTTAGGGGCGTAGTAGTTGACTGGGACTTTTTGCGAGCCTGTATTAGCTTTGGGATCCTGAGGCTCACGTTTTTCGGTTCGGGGCCATGATGGAGGAGATGTGTCCTCTTTTTGAGGAATTCTGCGCTATTATAGGTTGCGATCCCAATGCCCCTTTAGTCAAGCATGAGGTCAAAATTGGGTATGTTCGGTCATTTGAAAGCCTGTTTCAGCCGGCCACAGGCTAGGGCCATGATTGTTGGTGACCAGAAAGCAATTTTGCTGCCCCTGATTGATGAATTTTCAGAGGTTCACTCATACGACCCTGACCGGATGAGGTTGAGAATGCGGGCCTTGGTTTTCTGCTTCTTATTCAACCGGGACCCGGGTTTTGGAGACTTGCGGCTTTGCCCTATGGTTTGGCAAATGGAGGACATGGGTTGCGGCGGTATTGTGCTGGCTGAGACCATTAGAAGTCTTGACAGAGCTGCTTTAGGGTTTGACGATTGGACTGTTTCCCCCATCATTCTCCAGGTATTTTTCTATTATCCTACCTCATTCCTCTTCTTCCTCTTCTTTTTTTCTTATAACGGAAAAGATCCATTATTCAGGTTTGGTTGAGGGATCACTTTCAAGTAGTGGCTGCTCCAACCTCCCTTCCTTACAATCCTTCTCAATATCGCATGCGGAAAATCTTGCTCTCCCACCCTTCTACTGAGACATGGACTTCATGGCTGGTTGAATTGGGGTCCAAATGAGATACTGTGGTTCGTTCCTTGGTACAATATCAACCGCTTTATTCAGGTCAGCTTTCGCCATTCTCGGGTTTATCTTCTAGGCCTCACACACTGTACTTGGTACTGCGCTTCTCGCGTTCTGAGGCAGAATGGGAGAGATCAAACGTCCCCTATAGGATGACATTTCAGCGGATTCTGCGATTACTCGGTGTTACCCGAGCTGTTCCTTAAACTTGGTTAAGAGATCACCGATGTTCAGACCTTACCTGAGTCTACCAGCGGTTCAGATCTTCTCCCGAGTACCGGCCTGGTTCATTACCCGCTGTCTGCCGATGAAAGACCAAGGAGGCGACTGCTGAGTGTTCTCGAAGTTCGGTTCAGGCTGATCGAGAGAGGAGTGGGACAGTGAGGAGAATTGGCTGGCTCCTTGGACAGGCTAAGGCTGGGCAGCAGTTTAGTAGAAGACCAAGATGCCCTCCGCGGAGGCGACGGGATACTAGACTCTTATGAACCTTTTGTGATTTTTTTTCTTGTATGCCTTCGTTTGGGGACTTGGATTTCTTTTGAAGATCTTGACTTTAGTTATTTTGGACTCTCTTGCTTGATTCTGGATTATTTGACTTTGTCATTAGGCGTTTTGAACTTTCCAAGCATTTGCCAACTTTTATTTATTTAGGCTCTAATTTTTGCCTAAGCCGCCCTTTCGGGTTTTCAGCTTAGCGAGCTACCCCCTTTTGCTTAAGCCGCCCTTTCGGGTTTTCAACTTAGCGGTTCTTTCTTTTCTCTTTTTTTTTTTTATTCGGCAAAGAAGAATGAAATTTGAAATGTGTTTTTTTTATTAATGCTTAGACCGCGCCCAAAGAGGGCTGCCTACATAAACAAGAAGGACCATAAATCCCCTCTTCCCCCCCTCCTCCCCCCCGGCGCCCTGCTCCGAATATGATTTTTCAAACGAGAATCAGGTCTAGATGAGTTCGTTTTACATATGCAAATGATTACAATTACACGAAAGTACCTTTTTTACGGATCTAAATTACATGGATTAGGAATTCCAAGCCTCCAAATCAGTAAAATGAACGCCCGCCCTGAACAAGATCTTTTTCCAAACAACCATAGGTCCAGCCCAAGAGGACGGAACCTTCCCCCGTGGCATCTATGACCGGTTGTCCTAATTTCTTCAGCACCAAACAACCTTCTTTCCAGTTTCCGTTCTTTGACCTTCTTTTAAAAGTCTTGCCATTCTTCTTGACTAGCACTTGGAGTTTGGTGAATCGTCCGCCATCGGTTTTTCATCCATACCCAAGTAGCTGCAAATGATGAATTGCTCAGCCAAATTTGCTTCACCTCGATCTGGCTTTCCCGGATACCCTTGCCGACTGACTTCCAGCCTCAATAGGCAATAGCCATACACTAGGGCGTACGGGGTTGCCCCAGTAGGCGTTCTGATTGAAGTCCTGTATCCCCATAAAGCATTTGGTAGTTGTTCATGCCATGCCCTATACCTCTGAATCGTCTTTTGCAAAATGACTTTTATGGCCTTATTCGCGGCATCGACGGCCCCATTTGTTTGTGGGCGATAGGGTGAGGACTGTAGCAAATTCATTGTAGCACAGTCAAATTTACTGTAGCAAAGTCAACCAACAGGCTTTTTGAGCCTCAAAATTTGAGTATTCACAATACCGACAAAGGATGCTGGTACGTACAAACTGTGTTGCCTTCTTGGCGTTTAACATTGAAAAGGAAACTGCCTCAATCCATTTAGTGAAATAATCTACAGCGACCAGGATAAACTGGTGGCCATTAGAGGCTTTCGGGTGGATCTTTCCAACTACATCTATGCCCCAAGTTGCAAAAGGCCACGGTGAAGCAATTGGATTCAAATGGATCGGAGGCCGTTTTTGCAGCTTAGCAAAAATTTGGCACTCATGGCACTTACGCGCATGCCTCACACAATCCGAATTCATAGTTGACCAGTAATACAGTAATAACTAGTTCATGATTTTCCGAGCCAAGGCTATCCCGTGCATGTGTGACCAGATTCCCCATTATGCACGGAATCCATAAATGGTTTTGGGCTTCTTCTCAACCAACGCACCTTAGGTGCAGTGCCATCCAACTTCCTTTTTATAACAGAACTCCCCCGTTAAGAAGTATCGACGCTAACTGCTCAATGTCCCGTGATACAGTTTTGGTGGAGTCCCTCCGGGTTAGGCTTCGTTTCGAAGTAATTCGTATATTCCCACCCAATACCAAGGCTTGTCATCTACCAAATGCATGACGTGTGCTGGCCGTTTCTGTAGCCGTACTGTCAGAGGTCGAATGACTTGGTCTCCACCTACATTAACCATGGAGGCCAAGGTAGCTAGGGCATCTGCCAACTGATTTTTGCCGCATGGCAGGTAGTGGAAAGATAGTTCCTCAAACTGTTGGGGCCAATTCGTGCAAAAGTTGTAGGTAAGGAACCAAACGCTCTTCCTTAATTTTTCATTTTCTCAAGGCTTGGGAGACTATTAAATTGGAATCCCTGAAAACCTTGAGGACTTTAGGGACTTTTTATTCTCTTTTTCCAAGGCTGCTCTACCCTTGATACAGGCTTCGTATTCGGCCTCATTATTGGTACAGTCAAAGTCTAGTTTAACTGCAATTGGGACGTATTCTCCACAAGGAGTTTTGAATACAACTCCAATCCCATTTCCATGGTAATTCGAGGCTCCATCGAAGTACATCTCCCAGACCTGATTTTCCAGGTGCAACAGGTTTTCGTCGGGGAATTCTACCTTCGGCATTTGATCTTCGACCGGTAATTCGGCTAACTGGTCAGCCAAAGCTCCGCCTTTTACTGCCTTACGTTGTACAAATTTCAGGTCATAGGCTGCGAGCACTGACACCCACTTAGCCATCTTACAGTCTAGAACCGGCCTCTCCATAAGGAATTTCAAGGGGTTCGAATGTCAGAGATTAAGCGTGTG